CAGACAGACAGACAGACAGACAGACAGACAGACAGACAGACAGACAGTCTTCCATGTCCTCCACCACCCCCCCTCGGATCAGTAGGGGCTGTGAAGGTGCCCTCTTCAGCAGTGCCCCGTGCTCACCCCCTTCTTATACTTCTAACAACAGCTGAGTCATAAGAAAACTTGTGCAGCTAAAATGACTAAGAGCTGTAGTTAAAGTCAGTGGTGTATAAGGTGAAGAGGAAAGGAGTGAACACAGTCCCCTGTGGAGCTCCTGTATCACTGACCACCCCATCAAACACTGCCCAAACAGACAAACTGTGGTCTGGCTGTCAGGTAATCGGTAATCCAGGAGACCGCTGAGCCGTTCACACCCATCACCCGCAGCTTCTCACCCAGTATCAGAGGTTGAATGGTGTTGAAGGCACTGGAGAAATCAAAGAACAAGATTCTCCCAGTGTCTACTTCACCATCCAGATGCAGATGAGCTCATTGCAGCAAGTAGATGACAGCATTGTCAACTCCGAAATAGGGCTGGTAGGCAAATTGCAAAGGGTCCTGAAACCTTCCCACCTGTGGCCTCAGCTGGGCCAAGTCTTTCCAGGACCTCCATCACATGAGATATTGAAGCTACTGGTCTATAGTTTGCTGGATCAGATGGCCTCAGCTTATGGACTGGAACCAAACAGGACAACTTTCCACAGCCCCAGGACCTTTTCCTGAATCAGGCTCAGGTTGTACAAATGTACAACCTGGACGCTGACTGGCGCAGGTCCTCAGGATCCTCGGGGTGATGCCATCAGGGCTTGCTGCCTTATGCTGGTTCAGTTTTTCCAACTGTCTCTTCACCTGGCCTGCGGTTACTATTGGATGGGGGTTGGTGCTGATTTGCACAATGGAGGATAAGGGGGAGGAGGAGCAGATAGAGAGGAGTGTTGCATTAGAAAGCAGGGGGCAGGGTAGCATCCTTAGGGTCAGTTACACCAACTGCCCCCTCACAGTGTATGTCCACCTAGTGTGTAATATAAAATCAATGATGAACAATTCAAATATTTTTCTGGATGGAAGTACTTTGGCAGATTATTTTGGAAAATATGGAAAAAAAGAGTGCAAAGTCAGACAAGGGATCTTATGAAACACGGACAAATTGCATCATATTAGCTTTGACTGGATGTGCAACAACAATTTGTGCCACTGGATGTCCCCCAAGTTTTAAGTTCTAAACTGCAAGGTTAGGAGTATCAACCAAAATGCAGAGAGGGTTGTTCTCTCTTTGTTGCTGTTGAACCCATCAGTTTGTGGATGCACAACAACTTTCTTGGACAAAGCTTAAAAACACAAAAACAAACAACAAACAAAGAGAAAATGTTAGCAGTCTGGGACCTAAAAATCAGGGTTAGGTTAGGGTCCACCTGGCTTTATTTAAGCTTTTAGAAGTACTAAAACAATTTTGACAGTGATTGAAAACAATTTGTCTGGTTATATTTAGTCTTCTTATTGTTTTTTTTTTTTTCTGTTTTTCCTGATGTTTGATTAATGTCTGATGTTTATTTTATATTATCTGACACTAATATAATTCTTGACATTATCTCCTTATCGCCGCAGAAGGCCGCCACGGTGTTTTGGTGCGCATTATTTTGTTTTGTTTAGTCTTTTTACCCTGGTTTTTGCAACAGCTTCCGGATACCTTTCACTAGGGAACAACTTCTGAACATCAGGGAAACGTGGGAAACAACTCCTACGGATTTGTTTCCCACTTTTTTCAACCATTCTGCCGATTTATTGTTTTTTTTCACCAGAGGTGCCCTCGCCCTTGCACTCGCAGCGAAACGCCGGAGGAGGGGGAAACGTGCCGGTGCGCTTGTGCGTCTTCGTCAGCGCGGTCACCGCACACCGCTGCCGGGCATATTCCTCTCCAATGTGCGTTCACTGTCCAACAAAATTGATGAACTCCAGCTGCTGATGGGGAAACGCCGAGACTGCGCCACATCTGCAGTTTTGTGTTTCACGGAGACGTGGTTATGTGGATCGATACCGGATTCTGCGCTGCAGCTGGCAGGCTTCCAACTCTTCAGAGCGGATCGTAACACGGAACTCTCCGGCAAGACTAAAGGTGGTGGAATCTGTTTTTACACCAACAGTGGCTGGTGTAACGCTGTGACAGTGATTCAGCAGCACTGCTCTCCTGATCTGGAAACTTTTTTCATCAACTGCAAACCCCTTTACTCGCCCCGTGAGTTCGCCTCATTCATTCTGGTCGGTGTTTACATCACACCGCAGGCCAACGTGCAGGACGCACAGCGCACGCTCGCCGACCAGATACTGCGTGTGGAGCGGACATACCCGGACTCTTTAGTTATTGTCCTCGGCGACTTTAACAAAGGTAACGTCACCCATGAACTCCCAAAATACAGACAACTTATAAAATGTCCGACCAGAGAGGACAATATTCTGGATCACTGTTACACCACTATCAGCAACGCTTATCACGCCGTCCCCCGCACTGCACTGGGCCACTCTGACCACGTCATGGTCCATCTGATTCCTGCATACAGACAGAAACTCAAACTCTGTAAACCGGCTGTGAGGACATCAAAGCAGTGGAGCAGTGAGGCTGTGGAGGATCTTCAGGCGTGTTTGGAGACTACTGATTGGGATGTTTTCAGGACTGCCACCACCAGTCTGGATGAGTACACAGGGACTGTGACTTCATATATCAGTTTCTGTGAGGACTGCTGCATACAATCACGCACCAGGGTAAGCTACAACAACGACAAACCCTGGTTCAGTCCTAAAATCAGACAGCTGAGGCTTCAGAAGGAAGAGGCATTCAGGAGCGGGGACAGGGACAGGTTTAAGGAGTCAAAGTACAGGTTTAGTAAGGCGGTGAGGGACGCTAAACGGCTGTACTCTGAGAATCTCAAAAAACAGTTCTCAGCCAACGACTCTGCGTCTGTCTGGAAGGGGCTCAGGCAGATCACCAACTACAAACCTAAACCCCCCCACTCTGTCAACGACCTGCGTCTGGCAAACGAGCTGAACGACTTCTATTGCAGATTTGAAAGACAATGGGACAGTCCTAACACCAACACCATCCCCCGCCACCACCAGCCCCTGCCCTCCTGCAGCCCCACCCCCACCTCAGCAGGGGCCTGCCCCCACCCTCAACTGCCCACATTGAAGGACCCCCTTCCGTCAACTACCATGACTCTCTCCATCCAGGAGAGGGATGTATCCAGTCTATTCAAAAAACAAAAACCACGCAAAGCAGCTGGACCCGACTCTATCTCTCCTAGCATCCTGAAGCACTGCGCAGACCAGCTGTCTCCTGTGTTCACTGACATCTTCAACACCTCGCTGGAGACATGCCATGTGCCTGCCTGCTTCAAAACCTCCACCATCATCCCCGTCCCCAAAAAAACAAAGATTTCAGGCCTCAATGACTACAGACCTGTCGCCCTGACCTCCGTGGTGATGAAGGTATTTGAGCGCCTTGTCCTTGCCCACCTGAAAGCCATCTCAGACCCACTCCTGGACCCACTGCAGTTTGCTTACAGAGCCAACAGGTCTGTAGATGACGCTGTCAACCTGGCTCTCCACTTCATCCTCCAGCACCTGGACTCCCAAGCCACCTACGCCAGGATCCTGTTTGTGGATTTTAGCTCTGCATTCAACACCATCATCCCCCCTCTACTCCAGGACACACTCTCCCAGCTGGGTGTGCCTGATCCCACCTGCAGATGGATCACTGACTTCCTATCTGACAGGAGGCAGCATGTGAGGCTGGGAAGCCACACCTCCAACAGCCGGACCATCAGCACTGGATCCCCCCAGGGCTGTGTTCTCTCCCCCCTATTCTTCTCCCTGTACACAAACAGCTGCACCTCCAGCCACGAGTCTGTCGAGCTCCTGAAGATGGCGGATGACACAACCCTCATCAGACTCATCTCAAATGGGGACGAGTCTGCCTACAGGTGGGAGATTGACCGTCTGGTGTCCTGGTGTGCAGCCAACAACTTGGAGCCCAATGCGCTCAAGACAGAGGAGATGGTTGTAGACTTCAGAAGGAACACAGCACCACCTGCTCCCATCACTTTGTGTGGCTCCACAATTGCTTCTGTGGAGTCCTTCTGTTTCCTGGGGATCACAATAACCCAGGACCTCAAGTGGGAGCTGAACATCAGATCCCTCACAAAGAAAGCACAGCAGAGGATGTTCTTCCTGCGGCAGCTGAAGAAGTTCAACCTGCCCAAGGCAATGATGGTGCACTTCTACACAGCCATCATTGAGTCCATCCTCACCTCCTCCATCTCCATCTGGTACGCTGCTGCCACCGCCAAGGACCAGGGCCGACTGCAGCGTATCATTCGCTCAGCCGAGAAGGTGATTGGCTGTGATCTGCCATCCCTTCAGGACCTGTACGCCTCCAGGACTTTAAGGCGTGCAGGAAGGATCATGTCTGATCCTTCTCACCCTGGTCACAAACTCTTTGAAACTCTCCCCTCTGGCAGAAGGTTGAGGACCATCAGGACCAAAACCTCCCGCCATAAAGACAGTTTCTATCCAGCAGCAACTGGCCTCATCAACAAGACCAGTGACCCCCACCTATTCTTCTCCCACCAGCCTCTACCTCACTAATTTACCCAATGCTTCAGCATTTTCTGGTCTGTCGTTGCAGATCACCATTGCACATCTCAATTGTTCATTTGCACATTCGGATCTATATTTTTTAATATTGTTCATTTGTACATTCAGATCTATATTTTTAAAGATTGTATTTTTCAGTTTTATCATTTCTGTCCTATATTTTTTATTTCTACATTTTATTTCTTGCTTCTCATAGAAGTGTTGTGTTGTGCACTAAACACCAAGGCAAATTTCTTGTAAGTCTAAAAACCTACTTGGCAATAAACCTGATTCTGATTCTGATGATACACCTCTAAATTTAACTCCAAATGTCATCCATCTATCCATTTTCTTTATTTTTCCCCCCAATGGGCCATAGGGTAGCTGGAGATTATCCCACATGACAATGGGTGAGAGGTGGGTTACACCCTGGACAGGATGCCAGTCCATTGCAGGGCCACACAGAGATAAATAACTACTCAAATTCACTATAGGGGCTATTTAGGGTGTCCAATTGACCTAACCAGTGATATTCTTCACCAACTGGCTCCCCTCCATCCTGGGTCCAGATAACTTTCCTGACCCGGTTCTCATCGAACAAGCACACAGGGCACTCTACCCCAGACCTTATAAGAAACCGCGACCCAACATAATCTGATTCCTGAGCTACCAAAACAGAGAGACGGTCCTACTCATTGCAGCTTCAAAGGAAAGAAACGCAATTCAACATGACAGCATACATGTTATGCTATTCCCTGATATATCCCCTTACTCTTGAAAGAATATGACCAGGTAAAGAAGGAACTGGTGATTAGGAAGATACCTTTTCCACTGCTTCATCTTGCGTTGCTCAGAGTTCTCCACAACAGCCAACGGCGCTCCTTCAAAACACCAAAGGAGGCAATGACATTCATTCATAACCTGGTTCCCAAGTGTGAGAGCGGACCAGAGTGAGATGTTCACTGAACGTTTTTGACCAGTTTGTATATTATATCCACAGTCCAATTTTTATTCAATCTTTCGTTTTACTTTATTGGTAGAGATTATAGCTGACAGCAAAGTTGCTGTAACTAAATCCGACCTTATGTTCGTTACCAATATGTATAGGGGAAAGTGGGCTAATGCCGGCCGGTGGGTAATACCGGCCACGCCCTATTATGTAGAAATACAAAGGTTTACGCAGTTTTTATCAAGTGTGTGCGTATGATGGTGACTCGTCATGGTGTGATCGCCTCTATCTAGCCGCTTAACCTCATATATAAACCGTAAAAAGTACGAAATGATCTAATCCAAGCACACTTGAAGCAGGCATATAATGCTGTCTGTAGACATCCATCCATCCATCCATTATCAATACCGCTTATTCCCTCATGGGGTCGCGGGGGGGAACTGGAGCCTATCCCAGTGGTCAACGGGCGAGAGGCAGGGTACACCCTGGACAGTCCGCCAGTCCATCACAGGGCAACACACAGGACAAACAACCACTCACACTCACATTCACTCCTAAGGGCAATTTCCCCAATCTCCAATCAGCCTAACATGCAGGTTTTTGGACTGTGGGAGGAAGCCGGAGAACCCGAAGAGAACCCACGCAGACACAGGGAGAACATGCAAACTCCACCCAGAAAGGTCCTGGTTCCCCCGGGATTCAAACCCAGAACCCTCTTGCTGGGAGGCCACAGTGCTAACCACCACACCACCGTGCCGCCCTGTCTGTAGACAATATGACAGATATATTTCCCATGTTATTTTGAGCCATTTAAAGGCCCAAGCCTCTATGATAAACCATGGGTCAGTATCCCAAGATTTGGCATCGCGAGTGAAGTTCATTTAAGACTTGTGTCGTGGGGGTAATGGCGGCCATCCAACAAGAATTACACCGTAAGTGCCCGTAATTACTCCAAGACATCATTTAATTTGCTTCATTTCCAATCGTCTTGAAATGAGCTTACCTTGACCTCCAATAGGACGAGCTATGCCCCAGATCATAGATTATGATAAGCCCGTCACTGATTGGATTTGCAAAAAAATGAGGAGAAAAAAATGAAAGAATTAACGTTGATTGTCTTGTGTTCTTCCAGTCCCATGAAAAGTGTATTGGAACTGAAGTGTAAAAAACGCCAAGTCAAAAATACTCAGGGAGTTATCAAGAACAAAACTTATCAGAACCTAATTGGGAAAGGTTTGGTCAAAGATGGGAAAGCATCTTGTTGCAAATGATCAGCCAAGAAGATACGTACAGAATGGTTTTGCATTTACAAAATTTACTTCAAAGCAATTATTCAAAACTAGGTCAAACTGCTTTGTAAGTGTTAATTAGAACATTTCCTGCCTTGTCAAAAAGAATCTCTCTCTTACTGACTTCCAGTAAAATACCCCCGTAACGCCTTGTCGTCCCACCCACATTCAGCCGCTAAAATACGAAAATCAATGGAATATGATGAAACGGAACCTGTGCCCTGACGTAGAGAAAGTAACCGACTACTACTCTCTTTCCCCTGTAGAGGATGGTCAAAAACTCTGAGCATTTCTGTAGTAAAGGAGCCGATAGAATTACAAACAGGTGAATTATTGCTAGTTAAAGCTACGGCCTAAGCTGAAGCTTTCCCAGACAGAAGGCTCATAACGAAGGCTACTCTGGACCTATCGGACGAATAGGTCAGCGGCTGTTGGTCAAATACTAACGTACATTGATGCAAGAACTGCTTACACGACCCTAACTCTCCCGAGTACCTGCTAGGTGTGGGAATGAATGGCTCACGGGGCTGTGCAGACGGAAACACCACCGCGTGGGTGGTCTGGAGCGAAGTCCCGGATGCTTGGTCTGAGTGTGGAGCTTGAGCTTGATCCGTAG